GGTGGTTTGCAAGCCAGCCACGCCCCCTAGCAACCCAAGCAGAGGCCCTGGTATCTGGAATTTATTTACCTTCTACAATTGAAACTTTGTAGCCTGGAGCAAAGCCAAGCCCCTGCTCTCTCTGTGGCTGCCACCATTTCTGTTTGAATTTGTTTACCTTCTATAATTGAAACTTTGTAGCCTGGAGTAGAAGCCTAGGCCAGCCAGGGCAGGGAAAACTTGGCTTTCTCTGTTGCCAGGGGCAACCCTAGCCTGCTCTCTCCAGCTCTGTGACTGCTGCCATTTTTCTTGGGATTTATCTTCTATAATTGAAACTTTGTAACCTTGAGTGGAGGCCTAGGCCAACCAGGATGTGTGGAAAGCCTGGCTTCCTCTATTGCCCAAGCCTCTCAACTGCTCTCTGTGGTTGCAGCCATCTTGGGGTTAATTTGCATACTCGCTCTTATTGGCTGGTGGGCTTGGCTTGTGGGTGTAGCGGATTGATGGTTAATTTGGATACTATTTATTAGGTAGGATAATGAAGTATAACATTAGCACTGCAGCTGCTTCTCATAGCTAAATCTTCTGCTACCACACAACACATTGTAGGGATAGTCAAACATCTTAGGGAGGTGACAAAAGTCTATTTTAACCTTTTCACACAAAGCAAAACTGTCCTTGTCTCTCTGGAATCATGTCCATGACAATGCAGGCATCATCTAAGTCTGTTATACAGTTTTCTGCAGGCCACTGTCAGGGCTGTGTATGTCATTTTCTGTTTCTAGCCACAGACACAGTCTGTCCAATTTCCCTAAAATGCATTCTGGCATGGGAGAAAGTTGTTATACATTGGCAGCTTAACCCCTATACTACTGGGCTTGGAACTCTGTCTAGCAAACAGCAGTCGCTAAGTTCAATATGCAGCCTCTGGTACTCCAAACCCTACGGGTTCTCAGCTAGTCCCTCAGCCAAGCTCCTTCAGAGCTTCTGAAAGTCCTGAAGGCTTTCTGGCGCATGGAAAGTGCTTTTCCTTTATTCTCTCCTGTTTATCAGTTACAAGGCCTTGCCATCCCTGTCTCTCATCACTGCTTGATTCCTAGTGGCAAGCCAAACACAGCCAGAGCTGCAGGGAGAGATGGTTTGCACATAGCAAAGCGCTCCTGCAGTGGTGGCTTGGGCTTCAGGCCCTTGCTTCACACCTGTCCTCTTTCCTGGCAGAGACAACGGCCTTGATCTAGCACAACTCAGATAAGTGAGAAACCAAGGGTGCCAGCAGAGTGGCTTGCAGCCAGCAAAATCAATAAAATCTTACGTCTCCCTGCTCTCCCCACCAACATCCCCTCCCCTCTGCATTAACTATTTGCTTCATCCTAGCAGGGGAAACACGTCAAGTGGTCTGAGATTTTGTACACGTAGGCTTTTTACATTTAAGGGTACATTTTTTTTTTTTTTTTTCCTGTAACAGTTGCTTTCCCTCCCAGATTTTTCCTCTTTGTGACAGAGGAAGTTGTGACATAGGCAAAGACTGTGACTATGGTATTCAGGGATTATAAGGTGGAGGGAGGTGTGCTTCCTCTGATGCCAGGGGAATCACCGAAGACTTGAAAGGTATCCCCCTTCTGGCAATTCCCTTCGCAGTGCCTCTCTGGGGCCAGTAACTAATACCCACACCCTGATTTGTAAGGCACAGCTCTTTATCCATGGTGGGGGATTCTGAACTAAATCCACCACTTATCTATGTAAGGAAATTGATCTGGATATCCAGGATCTCCTGCCACTTTACTCGAAACTGCTTTCACACATCTGGGATCAAGATACCCTGTGTCTATCCAGCCCACCCTGAATTTGGGCCATTCTGACTTGCATAGGTTTGTAACTTTTTCTTTGAGAGCTTTATGCCATATTCATCCTCTGAGAAACCTTCACTAAAATGCCTTACCATGTATTCCAAGGGGGTTTTGGCCATGCTGGCCGCCCCCTCCCATTGTGAAACAGAGAGAGACAATTCCCAGAGAGAAAAAAATAGTAACAGCTGGAGTTTTGGAGAAAACCATAGGCCATTGCTGTAGCAATCCCCTCGAGGCTGGGAGTGACCCATGGTAAAAAGTGACTCTTAGTCGGACAGGAAAAATAGCGAATGAGGATAAGGGTGTGTTGGGAGATTTCTTGTGGACTGAAAGCCTAGAGGCCCTTCTGAAAGAAAATATATTTAATCCAATTACAGATGCTGTCAAGATCAGGAGTGAGGGAGGAAGGGAAAGACTAGGTTATGTCCTCTCCGAAGATCCTAATAAGTAACTGAAAATGGCAAGTCAAACAAAACATACAACCACGAAGACAACAGACCACACAAGACACACAATCAGGGTTAATGGGTCCATAGATAGTCGTTTATAATAACACTAGTTGGATTCCCTTCCCTTTGATTTCCCACAATTTATTTTTCTAGGCTCAGCCAGAAACCTCCTACTTCAGCATTAGATCTGCCTCAGGTAGCTCGAGTGGGACCACGCTGTCACAGGCAAAATCTCATCAACCTGTGGGAGTTTTTGGCAAGTTCTGCCCCGGAAGTCTCCATCCACCAAAAGAGATAAGACAAGCCATAAATAACAAGTTCTTTGTTCTTTGAATTTTACTACTTTATTGCAAATAGTTAACTTGAAAAGACTTCTCTATTGCTTTTCTTACAAGCAATATTGGAACCTAGCCGGCCTTTGTTTTCTCTGAGCGAAATCCTTTCACAAATTGATACCTTTAAGTCTACCCCAGAATTCCAAAATTTTAACTTAATACAGTAAAATCACCTGTCTAAGTGGCCTGATTCTTCTCTGACAGAGAGCAAAAAAAACCCGAGAAAAAGGAGATTCTCAGCAGCTACTTGGGGGGTTTTGCAGTCCACCAGAGCACCCAGCCTTAAATAAATCAAATGTTTTAGCCAGACGAATCAACAAAAGTGTATAATAAATCAAAGTAACTTCTGCTTTTACACAGACTCTCACACTTATATTTATTGACCAGTTAATGAACAGATAATTATGCCAAGACAGACAAACATCCATACTCATACTCTCTCAGTAGACTTTCCCAAATGGAAGCTGAGCAGATAACTGAAACAATACCCAACTTCCCTAATGGATGTGGAAGCACTCCTGGCACCCACGCCCCAAAACTCTCAATCAATGTCTGGCTGAGAACCTATCGGAGGAGTTAAGACTATGTCCAGTACCCTTCTCAGTAACAAAGTGGCTAGTCCCAAACAGCAAACAGCAAAATGAACTCAAAATTTCGTAATTGAATTTTAATTCACTCACCTTCAGAGGCTTTCTTTTTGATGATTCCAAAAGCATGCAGAGGCATGCCAGGTGTCCCTTGTCTGGCTGTCATGACCACAGAGAAGCATCTCTGGGGCCCTGGAACTTCATCAGGTGGCACCTCCCCTAGAGATCCTCAGGGCCTGACAGCCAGGCAGGGGAGGCCGTCCATCCCTGGCATCAGAGAACAGGTACAGGCAGACATTTGTTCCTTGTCTCACTGGGGCCTCCAAATGTTGTATCATAAATCTGCAAATGAGATACCAGATGCCTTAATAAGCTAATTAACTAGGAGTTGTATTAGGGGTCATTTATTGTGAGCGGCCCATAAGGCAGTGTCTCTTCCAATTATCTGAGCATCACATACAGGAAGTCTCCTGTATTTATACTTTTTGAGCCTCTTAGTTTGCCAATATTACAAAGGGCTCTGTGTGAGTTATTGTTACAGACAGTTGTAACCTTGAATACACAGTGAGTTTGTACTTCACATAAGAATATAGGAATTGTTATCAGTATTAGTCTATTAAATTGGATGGCTAGCTTGCAAGGTCAGTTAAGTTTATCTTTTTGTATTATTTGAACTAAAAACAAAGTCATTTTACAGAATAACAGACTGTCTTAAAGGGACAGAGTTTATAATGACAGTTTACAGGACTAGGGACTATCTAACAATAGCAGAGATTTTCAAACTACTTTCAAAAAAGTAGTTTTTTATACAAGATGGATGTTATTATGCTTCATTAGAGGGCTGTTTGTCATCATTTAATCTAAGGATAATTCATTTGGAACTGAGAGTTGGTAATGCTATAATAACAATACCTTTCTTTATATAATAACTACTAGAGGCCTGATGCACGAAAATTGTGCAAGAGTACACCTTCCTTCCCTGGCACCAGCTTCCCTCTGGCCACCAGCAGGCACCTGGGACCTGAGATGCCCTCGCAGTCCCCACTTCATCCAGAAGGACATCCAGTCTAGTTAGCATATTACTCTTTTATTATTATTCTCAAATCACTTACCATCTATTAGCCTTTCTCTGTTTAGGAAGTACTTTCAGTTTAATCCTTTACAATAATCCTGTGCGTAGGTCAGTAATTTTGTCCAAGATAATTAGATTGTATCTCAAAGAGGTTGAATAACTTGCTCAGTGTTGCAGTACTGCTTAACAATTTCTACAGGAAATGAAGAATACTTCTAAAGGTATTCTGAATAAACAAAAAAGGAATTTCTATACTGTGACTAGGTTGTAAAAAAAAATCTAACTATTTTAAGTCTGTTCAGTTAATTAAGACCAGGATTGAAAGCCCATGTTTTTTTTGTGTGTGTGGTGTTGTTTTTTTTTTAACATATTTTTATTGATTTCAGAGAGGAAGGAAGAGGGAGAGAGAGATAATAACATCAATGATGAGAGAGAATCAGCTGCCTACTGCACACCCTCCACTGGGGATCAAGCCTGAAAACCAAGCAGGTGCCCTTGACCAGAATTCAACCTGGGTTTCCGTCAGTTTGCAGGCTGAGGCTCTGTCCACTGAAAGCTCATTCTTTAACCATAGAGTTTAAATTGATGTGTCTGAATCAAGAAGATAAATAATCATGTCAGTTTCTATTCTGCTGCTGACGTGATAAAGTTAAGGAAGTCTTGCTCTTAAATTAGTGAAACTTGCACTGGAAGTAATTAAGCCATTATTTTTTATTCTCTCTTTCTTTTAGAGAGATGGAAACTTTGATGACTGGTTCCACCCTGCCTCCCCTTTATGCAGAGGAAGATGGCTCCAAGGAGAATAGTGATCTGGCTACAGCCCGGTAAGCAGCTGCATTGGGACACTATACCTCTGCCTAGGCGTCAAAACAAAGTTTCTTACAAAGTATAGGTGCTCAGGAAGCAGTTTATATCATAAGAATAGAAGGTAGGTAAAGAGAGAACTGTTATAATTTCCATTTAGCTGTCACTTGCAGTGCTCTGGCTCCTGTGAACAGTAGTATGTGGGGTCTAACAAACATCAGCAACTCATGATTAAGAGAATTACATAGTCAGCTTTAAGGAAATATCTATAGCAGGATTACCTCTGAAAATGAAATGCATTTTCTGTTTGAATTGCCACAGATATCAAGACAATTTTCCCCCAAAGGTTTGATTTTTTAAGATCAGATTTTTGAAAATATGGTTCTTTCTTCAAGGTGCCTAGGAGCAATAGTTGACTTCTTATTTATTCTCCTATATCATTACTTTACTATGTTTGTACAGATAAGTAAAGGCATATAGAAAAGGGTTAGAGAACTATGGACTTGGGCAGAAGAGTGGTGATTACAGAAATGGCGGGGGAGGGATGGAGGTGAAAGAGGGCATAGAGGGTGTTAAGCTTTAGCCATTGACTGTGATGGGAGCTGTGAAGAAATTTACAACTAAGAGAAGAGCTGCAGAGATGAAATATATTTTACTTTCCAAAAGAGGAAAGGGCCAATGTATTGCTAGTCATTCTCAAATCACTTACCACCTATTAGCCTTTCTCTGTACACTTAGAGGGGCTTCAGCTTTTAAAGAGCAAGCAATTGAAGTTGCTAAGCGACAAGAAAGGAAGGGGGATTGTGTTGAAGGTGAGAGATACCAGGGGTTCTCTTAAAAAGTTAGTTTGTATGCTTTCCAGGAGATGATCCAGCAGATGTCCTAAGGAGGTGTCTTATCAGTATTTTTCCCAGTAAAACATGCTCAGAGCAAAAGTTATTAAAAGAATCTTATTTGAACTTTCTACTAAGTAGAGACTCCTTGGTGAGAACTATTCCTGAGATGTTAAAACAGCAAGGAGGAGGGGGATGCCATAATGTAGCTTGAGAGTAGGTTATCTTGTCCCAAAGTTTGAACAGAGGAGCTGTTTGAATCAGAGAAACCAACAATCTTGAGGGTTTAATTACCAGGTGCTTCTCATAAATTGTGGAAGGCCATAACAAAGAAAAAGAAAGGCCTCTGAATATAGGCAAAGAAAGCTAGGAGAGACTTAAGATGTAGAATGGAGAGAACTTAATGGGTTTCAAAGGTGATGGAATTTTTTAATTAACTTTTTTAAAAAGGGCTACTCTTGAAACCCATAAAAATCTGTTAAACTTGAATTTTTATGTTTTCTTTTTACAATTTATTTGCCAAAGAAGAAATATATTCACTAATAGGTTGAAGTGTTAGCTAATCCCCAAAATGAATTATTTTAATATTGACTAGAGCTCTTTAAAATAGAGTATACTTTATAATTCTGTTTCCTTCAAATTTATTTTGTGCCTCATTAATATCTGTCTCTCACTTTACTATATTCAGTCTTGTTCTCCAATATTTTGCTAAAGTCTGCCTATTGCTATATCCAGTTCATTCAATAATAACTTTTCTGAGTGTTTACTACATACCAGACACTGTTCTAAGTACCATAGTAAGCAATGATCAAAACAGACAGAAATCCCAGCCCCTGTAGAGCTTAAATCCTACCAGCGAAGTCAGACAAAGAAAACAGGATAAATAAGTAAAATATGTACTATGTTGATAAGTATAGATTTAAATAACTATAGATTAAAGATAATACTAGCTATGTATTAAAAGAACTATAGATACAGTTTTAGATAAGATGGCCTAGAAAGGCTTTAATGAGAAAAATTACTTTAATAAAGGCCTGAAGGAAGGAAGGTAACTAGCCTGTAGTCATTCTAGGGTAGAGGGAAGAATGACTACCAAAGGTAGATATGTTTCTACCTTTTAGAAATAGCCAAGAAGCCAGTGTCGCTGGAGCAGAGTATGTGAGGGAAAGAGGAGTAATTGAAGACTACATCAGTATTTCTCAATCTGTAATGTACATATGAATTGCCTACAGAGCTTATTAAAATGTAGGTTCTGGAGTCATAAAGTTGAGTTAGTATGAGAGGTTCTACATTTAATGAGCTTCCAGGTAATGGCTGTGCTACTTGTGTGAGCCTCATATTTGAGCACCAAGGAACTAGATCTTGTAGGTCTTAGAGGTCAAAGTGAGCACTTTAACTATTATTCTGAGTGAGATGGGAAAGCATTGGAAGGATTTTGAGCAGAATGATATGATCTGACTTATTTTTTTTTTTTTATAAGATCCCTGTTAAGTTGAGAATAAAGTGAAGGGAGCTGGGGTTAAAGTAAGAGAAGAGTTAGGCTCCTGAATAATTCAAGTGAGAGATGGTGACTTAAAGAACATCACTAGTGACTTTGACAAGAGTATTTTTGGTGGAATCAGGGGTAAAAAACTCACAGGAGTGGGTTTCAAAGATAATGGGAATGGGGAGAAGTATAGAATTCTAGATATATTTTGAAGGTAAAGAAAACAGGGTTTCCCTGAAAGACCAGATAAGCTCTAAGAAGGGAGAAAAAAAGCAGTCAAAGACAACTCCAAGATTTTGGCCTAAGACAGTGGTCGGCAAACTCAGTCAACAGAGCCAAATATCAACAGTACAACGATTGAAATTTCTTTTGAGAGCCAAATTTTTTAAACTCAAACTTCTTCTAACACCACTTCTTCAAAATAGACTTGCCCAGGCCGTGGTATTTTGTGGAAGAGCCACACTCAAGGGGCCAAAGAGTCGCATGTGGCTCACAAGGCGCAGTTTGCCAAACACGCACCTAAGAGAATAAAGGGATGGAATTAACTTAGATGGGTAAACTAAGCAGGTATGGGAGGGAATTTTAGGAGCTCAATTTTGGAGATTTTGTATAAGATATCCATGCAGAGACGTCAAATAGGCAACTTGATAATCAGGTTCTGAAGTTTGGAGGAGGTCTAGACTCCAAAGAAAAACTTGACAATCGTCAGTATATATGTAGCTAACATTTAAAGCCACGAGACTTGATGAGATCACTGAAGATATGAGCATTGTGTACATAGAAAAAGGAAAATGCCTGAGCTCTGGAATACTTCAGCATTTAGAAGTCTGGCGGAAGAGGAAGAGTCAGCAAAGACTAAGTGGTTAGCTAAAAGGGTATCAGAAAAAACCCCCCACAGAGATCTGGTGAAGGGGAGGGTCTTAGAAATCACATAAAAATTGAAGAGACTAGATCAACCGGTCACATACTTCTGGAAGGTCAGGTAAGATGAGGACTGAGAAATGACATTGGATTTAAGTATGGAGATTATTGGTGACATTGAAAAGAATTGTAAGCACTGTCTCCTTTTGGTTGGTTTTAGGAGAGAAATTGAAGGCAATAAGTATAAACAATTCTTTTCAATGAAGTCAATAATAAACAATTCTACAAAAGGAAAAGAGAAAAACAATGTAGGATGTGTGTGTGAGTGTGTGTGTGATGTTGTTGTTTTAAGATAAGAGTAATAATGCCACATTTGTGTGCTGGTTAGGCCAGTCCAGTACATAGGAAAGAATTGGTGGTGCCAGAGAGAACAGAATGCTGAAAACATGTTTTGAAGTTAGGCTAGCCAGTGTGAGATTGTGGGAACCCTATTCAGAGTATGCCACATGTTCAAGGCCAATTTGAATGTGGGGGCCCTATCTAGAGGACACCATATGTTTGAGGCCAAGGTCAATTTACCAGACACAGGTACAAAAGCAAGGATACAGCAATATTACTATACTACAAAGGTGTGCCCTTCTATAACCCAAAGATTGATGTCACTATTTGGCAAGAAGCCTCTTTTTGTCTACGTTAGTATAAAAGTATGTTATTGACCAGCCAGTGAATGGCTGCTTGATATGGCTCCTGTGTTTGCTACTGTATTAGTAAGGGCTGCTACTTTGTCTGGCTATGTTGTAAGGACTGTATTATGTGATGGTTCCTTGTTAGCTATGGCTACATAATCTATAATAAACTCTCTCTTATATGCCTACAACTACTCATATCTAATACCCGGTGTTCATAAAGGTCCAGTTCCTGGCAGGGAAGTACCTATATACCCCACAAGGATCTGGGACACAAACTAAAGAGCTGTTGGCTTTAGCTAAGAACATGGACAATTCATTCATAGAAACAAAAGAGCCCCTTTTTCTCTTTTTTGTGGTGGTTTTTTATTTTTTCTTCAGCCTTTATCTCCTTATCTTCAAAGCAATTGATACCTTTTACTACTCCCTTCTACTTCATGTCTATTTCAGTCAGGGATTCATAAGATTCTTATTCTTTCTCAAATGCAGTTTTCATTACCATTTGCAACAATGTGGATGGACCCGGGGGCATTATGCTAAGTGAAATAAGCCAGTTGGAGAAAGATAAGTATCACATGAATTCACTCATTTATGGGATAGAATGAACAACATAAAGAAATAAGAATGTGCAAGAGTTAATAACTTAAAAATTGAAGGCACACTTGAAATGAGAATGACACTAAGAGAAAAGCTGCCTAAGATATTCCAAAATGATTGAAGTATTGGAAAACAAAGCTCAAGATTAAACTCTAGCTCTGTTGAAAGGGTCAGAAAAATATAAATTCTTTCATTTTTCAGAACAATGTGCATCTGCATTCATTCATTTCTAAGTCTACTGGGGTTTTTTTATTTTTATTTCCAAAATTTCACTAAAATTACTTCATAAAATTGCCAACAAATTTTAAGTCTTCAGATGTTGCAGATACTTTCTAGTCTACCATACATAACATCTGCAACTTTTTACTTGGTTAATAACCACTTTTTTAAAATTTATTGTTTTTTTTAAATTTTTTGTTTTGTCTTATTTTTTCATTTTTGAACTTCTTTTAGTTGTTTCATTTCTTATATATAAATATATATATATATACATATATATATTATATAAAACATATACTTATATATATATACATTTTTATATTTTATATATATATTAT